GAGAACCAAGCCTCCAAAGCAGGCATCTCAAAACTGTTTCAATACATAACCAAATTTTGCCTTTCTTTTCCCCAACTTCAATAGCTTCTTCGTCAAGTAATTTAAACGTGTAGAGTTGGCTATTTAGGATCATATCATATTGTGCATAAATGATTGATCTTTATCTATGTGTTTAAATTGCTCTAAATTATTTCATATTGACCATGGAATGGCCCTAATGTCATTATCAAGACATGTAACGATTTAACACAGATTGAAGCTAAGATTGTGAACAAAACAAACTGCAGTGGACAAATGCAGGTGCAGTAGTAAAGTGCAGACGTGCAGAGTCAAACGTACAGCAGGAGGCCAAACTGATGAAGACCCAAATCAAATTGTTGTGGGTTGGAATCTTCACTCAACAGTCAGCAGCCCTCACAAATCGTTGGAATTGGATCAGCTTTCTTGAAGTTAGGAAATGGATTGGTGGCTCACCAATAGATAAAAATATGCATAAAAATAAATGCAACGTACAGCAGGAGGCCAAACCGATGAAGACCCAAATTAAATTGTTGTGGGTTGGAATCTTCACTCAACAGTCAGCAGCCCTCACAAATCATTGGAATTGGATTAGCTTTCTTGAAGTTAGCAAATGGATTTGTGGCTCACCAATAGATAAAAAGATGCATAAAAATAAATGCATGGAGAGACTTGAGCTGGCAGCAACCTTCTCTTGGAAACTAGCTTTTGAAAGAAAAAATCAAAGGAGAGAGCTCACTTTGGCACACTTTGGAGTTTAGCATTTTGAAGAAAAGGAGACTCTTGTAAGTTGGGGATTCACTTCAACACTTAGTACTTTCTCTACTCCTTTGTTTAGGTAATTAGTTATGATGTTGAACATTAGCATGTTTATGTTCTTTCTTTTCATCATGAACTAATCCCCCAATTTCTAGGGAAAAGTTATGAATTTCATTATCTAGCATCGATGTTTTAATCACGACTTGTTTTTCATCCATTTTCTATCGTGTGAAATTGTTTAACGCTTTGTGTTGATTGACCACCTTCACAATGATTTGTAGTTTTCTAGGTTAATAAGGATAGTGAAAACCTAGTAACTGAACGCATTTCACACGACATAATTGCCTATCGAAGCGATAGTGGATTAAATAGGGAATTATGCAGTCATTTTAGGGATATCATTCTGAAGGCTAATTAAGTAATTCAGATAACTACGATAGTAGAAATTATTTTAATTAGTTAGTACGTGGTAATTCTCGATAAAGATAGCTATCCCTATAGATGTATCCCAAATGTAGAAATTTGGATTAAATTGATTGACAAGGGTAATTATATTTAGTGAGGTGAATTAGTAAATTATTATGTTCCCCCCGACACTCTCCAATATCAATTTCTCCAAAATAGTTGATTTATCGAGTTACTTAATTTGTGCGTATCTTTACAAATCATCACTTGATTACAACCTTTGCAATTTCTATAGTTTCTTGAACTAAATTTTTTAATTATTGAATTTCATCAATCCCCTAAAGAACGATAATTTTACTTACACTTTATTACTTGTACGACACTGTGCACTTGCAGTTTTGTAGCCAACATGAAGTATTTGAGTGAGTTAGGCAGCGCATAGACATTAGTCGCCTCACCACCTAATGCCAATTAATCGTGCCTAACTCCTCCTAGGCGGTGACTAGGCGGAATTAGGCGGCGCATAGATATTTGAACGCCTAATGGTCTATCTAGGGTCTAGGCGAGACATGTTGTCGCAGCCTAGCGCCTAAATGTACGCGGAATTACGCCTTTTTAACCCTTTCTATAGCTAATTTTTGAAATAAAACTATGCTCAACTATATATAAAACATTCTAATTTATATATAACACATATTATTTAGCAATTTCTACCACTAAAGTACTTGTATATCTGTGAGATATAATTATGAATTCAGCGATATACAATATATTAGAATTTTTAATTTTGTTTTTCTCGAATTTGCTACCTCCTAATAAGTTGTCTAATAATGATAATTTTTCCTGCAATAAAATTTCATGTGAACATTTTTTGAAATTGACTGATTATTTTTGTAGGATGAACTGAGAATGATGTATCAACCCACAATTAGTTGTAGGATATGTTATATAACCAACCTATGAGTTATATATATCACTAAGTATAAGTTGAAAAATATGTAATCTAACCAACATACGCGTTATATGACTAATAATATGCTAGTCTAGGAGCTATGTAGCGAGCAACTAATCGAGTTGGTTTGCGAACCATACCATCAAGTTCAACAGGTTTTCCATTCATTCATTAGAAAAAATTCCAATTTCCAAACGATAAATTTCAACGAAATCTTTCAATTTCATATGTTACCATGTTCAACTCTATGTATTCCTCTATGCGTAGAGTACATTGAGTGTACAGAAATGACTATAACAGAGTTTCTCTTATTGTTATTCATAGTTTCACAAGTGGCGTCCACCGCGGTAGGTTTAAAGGTGGAGGGAGCATCCTATTACGACTCACAGCGGGGATGACGAAAGGCAGATCTGAGCCTTCTGCTGGGATAGCGGTGTACAAAGTTTGCTCCTACAATTTTTGTTTGGGTTCCTTAACCCTGGTGGCCTTCAACGACGCCGTAGCGGATGGCGTGGACATCATTTTCCTTTCTCTTAGTCTCGCCTATGAACTCCCGCCGGACTTTCTACAAGATCCGGCCGCCATCGGCGCTTTTCCGCCATGGAGCACGGGATCATGGTGATTTGAGAGAGCTTCTGAAGAAGTAGCAATGTTGAATTTTGGGATTCTCTCTCCTAGCCTATAAGTCACTTAAAATTTGTGTTTCTTATGATATGCTATTGTGATTGTCCAAAGTATATATTTATAGGTGCAGAGAGGACCAAAATTCCTATTAAGTTTTATCTTTACACTTCATCTCAACCATCCATCATGTAAGAGTTACAATAGCAACATAACTCTTTGAAGTTATTAATCTTTGATAACTCCTTATTCTTAAAACCAATTGAACCCAATGTAACACTAATATTCCTTTTATAACTCATGGGTTTCATAATAAATCATATTAAGGATGAGATAACTCTCTTGCACTAAAAGTTATCTTACAGTTTTTTTATTCTTTGTTTTATAATAATAATTATGATATTGCTTGGTATACTTCAGAAGTATAGTATACTGCATGTGATATGACCGTTAGATGTGTTTAGATGAGCTCCGACCAATCTAAGGTAGTTGTATATTTGTGAGATATAATTATGAATTCAGCTGTATACAATAGATTATAATTTTTAATTTTGTTCTTCTTTTTGAAACTTGCTATGTTATACCTTTTAATAAGTTGTCTAATAATAATATTTCTCCCTGCAATAAACTATCAGGTGAACATATTTTGAGATTGAATGAGTATTGGAATCATAAATGATTATCTTTGTAGGATGAATTGAAAGTGATGTTCTGAACAATTTGAAAGATATTTATATTTTACAAATTTCATTCTAATATGAGAAATAAAAATTTAAAATAAAAATAATTTTATTATACATTTCTCTAAATAATTGGACCCACCTTGGATATTAAAGTTTGGAGGACTTCATTGATAATAAATCATTGACAGCGGGGTCCAATCATTTTAATATCACAAGATAATGGTTAAATTGTAAGTTTGGTCACTTGAATTACTACTAAAGTTCACGTTAGCCACTAAAATTACTTTATTCCATCCATAGTCACTTAAATTAGTTCAACAGTTCAAGTTTAATCACTCTCTCTTAGTCTCCGTTAACTTTTGCTGATGTGGCAGTCAACTCTGATAGTTGACCGTTAACAAAGTGACATGTCAGTTTAAAATTAATAAAAAATAAAATTGAAGCTTTTCCAATTGCCAACTCATTTTTACACCCATTTAAATTAAATAAAAATACTTGAGCTGTATTATATATTCTGAAAATCAGGAAATAGATTACTTGATTGTGGAACGGATCCTTGAGTATAAAAAAAGAAAGTAGTCTACTGATCTGCTACATATTAATTGTTTCTAATTACCCGATTAATAAAACCTAAAGTTTTGGATGAGTTCCTTAATCACCCAGCATAGATATGTACAAACCATGAAACCAACACTGGCCTTAAGACTGTCTCCAACCCAACCATGCAAATTTGGAGAAAGTGAAGTTTTTGCCTTTTTGCATCTCCAACCCACCAATTATTTGGCTTGGAAATTTGGAGAAGTGGGTTTGGGGTGGATAGGTAGCAGCTCAAATGGAGGAAAGGGCAAAAATAGCAGCTGGAAGTGGGTCCCATATGATGCACAAAACGACAAAAAAACGGTCATAAAGTAACGGCTAAAAAAATGGTCATATAACTCATATTTGGATTGGTCCAAAAAAAGGTCAAAAGTAACGGCTACAAAAAATGACTAATTTTGCAAAAAAAAAAAATATCTCAGAATTAAAAAAATATTTCATCGAAAATTTTGTTTTCAAAAGTAATAACAAACTATAAAAAAATTAAAATGAATTACAAGAATGATATTGTAAATAAGTATGATTTATGGAAATTAAATCAAAAAAAGATGTGGGAAGCTAAATTTGGAAGCCTATAGGGTTGGAGCATAAAAGTGTTTTGGAGAGGCAAAAATGCACATTTGAGAGTTTGGGAGGCTAAATATAGCCTTTTGCGTTGGAGTTAGTCTAAGTGTGTGGAACTTAATTAATGATCAGCTCGATAGTGACCAAATGGGGGGGGGGGGGGAAGGTGTATAAGATTGAGTCTAATTAATTATATAGGCTTTTGGTTTAGCATTAGAAAACGAAGATGAAACTGTAATTGCGGTGGATGAAGTGAAGCGAACATCGCTGTTGCGCAGCGACCACATTGAAGCTTTTGAAGGAAGTAGAGAAATTGAGAAGAATTATTGAGGGTTTGTAAGGAGGGAAGGGGGGATAAGGGAAAGGTTACGGTGATTACTACAAAAGTAGTAATCACCGTGGTTACTAAGGGTAAATTGGGTATGGAAAAATAAATTATATTAATTAATTTTTTAATAAATTACATTTAAGGTAGTTACAAAAATCTATTCATTAAAAATCTCTCTTTCTCTCACTTCCGTAATCTCCAGCCAGATTTCCTTTCCATATTTTTCTCAATCTTTCTGCAAAAAAAAAAAAAAAAAACAAAATCAGTACCAATCCATTAGACAAACACTACCACTTTGAAAAATATCAATACCATTGCAGAAATAAATCTATACCATTATACGAAAACTACCATTGCAGAAATAAATTTATACCATTACACGAAAACTACCATTCAAGAAATAAAAACACTACCATTTCACAAAACATCAATATCATTCAAGAAATAAAAACACTACCATTTCACAAAACATCAATACCATTGCAGATTTAATCACTACCAATGCGACAAAATCAATACCAATGTAACAAAATCAATACCAATGCGATAAAATCAATACCAATGTGACAAAAATAATACCAATGCGACAAAAACTATACCAATACGACAATAACACTACCACTACGAAAAAAATGACTACCATTTAAAAAAAAATCACTACTGAAAAAAAATGACTACCATTTAAAAAAAAACATACCATTCCGATGGAGGCAGGGGTCGGCAGCCTGGACAAGATTGCTAGCTGTAGTTCCTCCGCTAGCCACTGGTTGACGGGGCGGCGCCGGACTTGGCTTGTTTGTCCGGCGGAAATGCACAAGAACAACCAAAATTGGAGAGGGAGTGAGGGAGGGATCAGAGGAGGTGGGCGGATGGTGGGGGGAGAGAGTGGAAGAGAGGGGAGGGCGGGTGGAGGTGGGCGGAGGTGGGGGGAGGGGATGAGGTGGGCGGAGGTAGGGTGGGCAGAGGGAGGCGGACGGCGGGGGGGGGGGGGGGGGGGGGCATTGCTGCAGGCACCGTGGCGCAATCGACGGTGGTGGTGCCCGGCCTCCGCCACAAGTGGAGCCGAGCTTGCGCCATTCCTCATTAAATATTTTCTTCATTAATGGAGCAGTGGCTGTGAGTGAATGATGCTGACCGGCCATGATGTTTAGTAACATCATAGAAATTAATTTTTATTTTTTAAATGGGTGTAAATGAGTTGAAAATTGGAAAATTTTAAATTTATTTTCTTATTAATTTTTTAATTGTCACGCCACTTTGTTAACAATCAACTATCAGAGTTGATTGCCACATCAGTTAAAGCTAACGGAGAGTGGCCAAACTTGAACTGTTGAACTAGTTTAAGTGATTACGGATAGAATAAAGTAATTCTAGTGGCTAACATGAACTTTACTAGTAAATGAAGTGACCAAACTTGCAATTTACCCACAAGATAATTGAGCTGAAATCTAGTAACCCTGATTCTGAATGGATACTGGATCTTCCTGTCCACTTCTTCACAGTTGATTTTCAAGCTCGACATGAAGACCATCCATGTTTAGCGTGTCAGAGGGAGTGTTGAAGATCATAATCAAACGAACTATAATCGAGCAATAGGATAATAGTTTTGATGTTTATGACTATAATTGGAAAATTGACTACTCCCAGCCCCAAATTTCTCTCTATCAAGTTGGCTTAAAACGTCGCTCTCGGTACTCTCCTCTCAAGTTTTGAGATGAGCTTTGGAGAAGGTTCCAACTGAATACAAGTCTACAACGAATGGGTCCTTTTAGAAGTGTTCATCTTGAATATTGGGGGCAAACGATGATAAGAAAATCAATGCTCTCCGACCTATAATGTATTGAAGTAGACTTCTCTAAACTTGGCATCAACAAGAACCTTTAATCTAAAGATCTCATATTTAAATTTTCACATCCTTCAATATATTAACCGCTGATTTTAAACACAAAATATATATTAGATTTGTAAAAAAAAATATAAGCCTGTGATAATTATACCAAGTCAAACCGAGCATCCAGATGAACAGGGATACATGTATATATCAGAGTCGCTTCGATTACTTGTATGAAACCCCATAAAGACACAAAAAAACATAAACAAAAAGGTGCCCTTATCACACCAGCCTATTTTGCCTTCATACATATTTTCTTGCCATAAGGCAAAGAGCATTTTTCTTGTGCATGGTGAGGCCCAAAATCACTTCCATATCCAGATCTTGCCTCTCCATTCCAACCGGCATTCCCCAATCAAACCCATAAAGCAAATTAGCCAGAGTGAGATGCACAATTGCAAGCCCCATGTGCATTCCAGGACACATCCTTCTTCCACCTCCGAACGGCACCATATCGAAATCCAAGCCCTTCTTATTATCATCAACCGACTTTTCCATGAATCTCTCCGGCCTAAACTCTTCAGAATCGTCTCCCCAAATTTCTCGATCCCTTCCAATGGCATATACATTGACATGAACCACGGTCTTAGGTGGAATTGTGTACCCGCCTAAGATGCAATCTTCATTTGATTCTCGGATTAGCAATGGAGCCGGAGGTTGCAATCTCATTGTCTCCTTGACCACAGCTTTAAGGTAAGGTAGTTGTTTGACATCTTGTTCATCTACAAAACCTTTGTCCCTTCCAACGACTTGTCGTACTTCTTCTTGAGCTTTCTCCATTGCTGTGGGATTCTTCATTAGGTATGTCATTGTCCATACCAAAGCAGCCGCTGCTGTATCTGTCCCGGCGATAAATAAGTTCTGCGAGCACGTTATAAAAAAAATTCCATAAGATGAAAATTTAACATTTATCTGTCAAAATAAAAGTAAACTCGCTCAAATCATAAGAACAATTGTACCATGTCTGGATTTATGCCTCTTTTGTATAGGTATTGGTTCTGAGGTGTTCTCAGCCTCAATGTTTGTTTCTTCTATCTTTTGTTTTTGACCAAATGACCTGGTCTTGTCTCAATTAGGGCGGGCTATTTGATCCTGAACTGTTTGGTTTTACTCGAAACTGGACCGTATAACCCGGATCGGGACCGGACTGGGACCGGATAGCAAACAATGCAATCTCATATTCGGGCTTAGATTTGAGGTAAAAAACGGGATAAAGACCGGATAAGAGACCCCCAACACCTAAAATCAAGATAATATTGGGACCGAACCGGGTCAAGACCGGACCGGATCAAGACCGGATTGTATCCAATCTAATCTTTGGTCCTTATATTCCCGAAAAGACCAAACTGGGACCGGATCAATTTGGTCCAATTTAACCGGACCGGATCGTATAACCACCCCTAGTCTCAATCATGATGATGAGATGAGATTTTCGCTTATGTCTTGCTTCTGGACTCTTTTTGTTTTTTTAATATGAATTTTCTATCGTCATTAAAAAAAAAAAAACGGGCTGATAAGATAAGCATGTAAGCCATTATCCTAGAATAGTTCATCCAATTCGAATAATTTTCACAAAATAACTTCACAGTGAATCAATTCTAAAAGTAGTACTTAAATTCAATCAGTTTGATCTCTCTGGTTTAAGGGAGACTGCCTGCAACTGGTTTTGTCAAACTCGAAGCATACCTTTCACTTTCAGAGCTAAAAAGACAGACCTAATTTAAAAGAGCCGACAGAACCAAAAGGCTGAAGCTCCGATATAAAAAGGGACAAAAACTACAGGCCCAATAATTGTCCCTCTAAAAAAAACAACAGAGATACTTGCATGGATACGTACGTTCATGATTTGTCTCGAGGAATACTGAAGTATGAAAAGTAGTAGTAAGAGAATCTATATACCATGACAATTGCTTTGACGTGGTCCACCGTGAGCCGGAACCTAGAGGACCCATCATTCATGGTTCGAACCAAAACGTCCAAAACGTCGTCGTGCTCGTGCTTTACTCTATTTGGGTTCAGATACTCGTCAACCGTTTCCTGACAGAACCGGTCAAGTTCTTGGAAAGTCTTATCAAGACGACGGTTCAACCCCGTGAGGCTATCAACAAACCCCAGGAGAGGGAAATGGTTGGAGAAGAAGAAGCTTGTGAACATGGCTTGGGTTTCATTTATCAAACCTTGGACCCTACTTCCCTCTTCACCAACCTCCTCGTACGACCCCTTGTGGAAAGCCATACGACAAACGATCGTACCGGCTAGGGAAATCATGGCATCCGACAAGTTGAAAGGTTTCGACTCGAACGATGATTTCGATACCTTCTCCATCACTTTGCGAACCTCTTGAGCACGAATGGGAGCCAGACTCTGGACTCGGTTGGAGTTGAAGAGATGGACTATACATGTTTTCCTCATCGCCCTCCAATAAACACCAAACGGCGAAAATGCCAAGTCGATGCCGTTGTAGGACAGTTTTTGCTGGCCTGCCCTTGGAGGCCTGGTACAGAGGGCGAGGTCGTGTGTTTTGAGGACCTCCTCGGCCATTCTGGCCGAGGAGGCCACGAGGACTCGAACACGACCCAGTCTCAACGACATGAGAGGTCCGTACACGCGAGAGAGCTGCCTCAGAGAGATATGAGGAATGGAACCATCGATTTGGAGCAAATTGCCTATGAAGGGAAGACATGGAGGACCAGGTGGGAGACAGTAACGAGAACTAGTAGTGTTGGCTTTCTTGTGGTTTCGGGGACGAAACAGGAGGGTTAGGATGATGGGAAGAGCTAGGAGAAGGTAGAGAAGAGGGAACATAGTTGTTTAGCAAGCTTAAGTAAAGAAACAATGAAGTGGTGTTTTTCCTATTATGAGCAAACTTGAAGTGGTGATTTGAGGAGAAAAGGGGAACATGTGGGCTTTCTATATATATAGCCACAAGTGATGAGAAGTTTTGGTCTAGTAATAGAGAAGTTGTGTATGCACGCTTTTCAACCGGACAACTATTGGGTGGTTAAGATTGCATATACCCTTTTGTTTCAGTGGAAGATCGAGTGCATATACCTTTCATATAAATGATCCTTTTCTCAGTATACACCAAAAAAATATCCGTCGTGTTTTCCCTACATTTGTTGTAATCGGCTGCTTAGTGGAAATTGCTGCCATCTCCAGCGAGTTCACTAATAACACATAGATTCTAATATTTTCCACCTAAAATAAATTGAAACTTCATACGGCCATAACTCCATGCACAATGCAAAACATAGTTACTACATACATGTATTATTTTATCCATATTATGATTAGAATTTGACACCTTTCGCCTATAATTTAATTATGTTTCTGAGAAATATATTATTTGATCTATATTATGATTCCAATGTGACAACTTTTCATAGTCCCTAAATGGTCTTTTTTTTCTGGAGTCTTTCACAAATCTTAAAATTTGTTGTTACTGCAAAACTAAAGTGGAAAAAAAAATGTTTTTCACAATCCCTAAAATTGTCTCTTATGATTACGTCCAATATATAATTTAACAAACTTGACAACGAACTTACGTAATCATCATCAATTCAAATCTATGGCCTTGGCCTTTGGGACAGTTTGTACTCACTGGAAGTATCTGAAATCTAACCCTTGATCGATTACTGCACATAATCTAGTTATCTACACTGCACGAGCCAGCTAGAAAATATCAATCTCTTCCGTTTTCAGCCTCGTGCACATACTATAGTACGTACGTGGTTTCAGAAAAGCTCATGCATGCAAAGAGTCGACGTTTAACACGCTAAACACAAATAAGTTCCCCTAATTGGCTTCTGTTTTTTCGCGTTGAAAGCATGCATTTTCTTCGCGTTAGGTATCTGATATCTGACCATATATTCTTGCCATTTTGTCTGCACAACACACACTTGTTTGGCTCGCAGCAGCAGCAGGAAACTAGCTGACCAGAAAGAGAAACGTAACTATGTGTTTCAGTACTCCATTTTCCCATATAACAATACTCCCATATTGACACTGAATGATGACAGCTGGTTTTCACCGAAGTTAATTAAGTTAAAGCTTCATCACTACAACCTTGAACTAGGCTGAAGTCAGAAGGGATTATAATACCTTTCAACTTTTGAAATATAGCTAAATTTTCATGTAAAATTCCTAACAAATTTCGGAAATAAAGTAGTGGATAAAATGTCAGCGCCCAATTACCACCTCAGCCCACTCATTCAAATTCCTGACTTTGTCACGACGTCACTACCTTCGATCGATATATATGATGGATGATCGTTCAAGGAGCACACTTTGGTCTGATCAGTACCTCTCATGAATGATACATATATTAATTCCCCAGTGCTCCACTCCCATAAATTGCTTCAATATGCGTTTTGCATATCTGTCAAAAGAACAGTGGTCTAGGACAAAGTAAGTGTTCATAGATGCATGATGACAGATGTAAATTAAGATGGTAATGGTACACATTGCTTTTTAGGAAAATGATGGATCGACCATATTGTTGAGTTATTGTACCTTATAGCGGCGGGCCATATATGTTTGATTCCCCTATATGTCTTCATCCACGACTAAAATGCCAAACAGAAGCACCAAAGACTTGCGATCGAGTTTTGGCATTGGTCTCTTGTGTGGATATTTCCAGATTTTTTTTTTTCAGTACTATGTAACAACCAGTGCCTTGCTCTGTGTGGTTTGAATTGATCATCACTTTATCCTCGTACAAACATCATCACTAATTGTTGTTGTAAGTGTCTCTCACCATGTGGATTGTACTCATGTGCCTTTCTCGATCGATAACCCTACCTAGCTAGCTATCATCGTCCTCTTGGGTTTTGTTGTTTGCGATTTCAGTCATGCTAGAGGTTAAAGCTGAAAAGAATGGATGTTAAGGTTTATGCATTTACTTGAATGACAGTCTCACTATTTGTGTAGCTCGAATCTTGCAAAGTTCTACGATAGTATCAACATTCCAACTCATATGCATCGACTCTCGGATGCACAAACCTGAAGTCCTAAAAATCACAACACTCAGATGGAATTTACTAATAACATTCTAACACAATATGTGTTAGCTAGTCTAATACCAGTTCCACTACATTGAGTATAGAGTACAGATTACACAGTGGTTCTAAGTTTTAGTATAGATGCCTTCTCCAAAATTCTAAACGGAAATGTCGGATTTTCTCTAGCTCTCTCTACCTTCTAACATTTGTGACAATGGCATCTATTTATACTGCCACTCTTGGCTGCCATCACCTTACATGGAATTCTCTAGAGAGCTTAATTATTAGGAGTTTGGGTTGATATTTGGCTGAGTTTATTCCAAGCTAGCTGGATATAGTAAGGATATTTTTTGCTTCATTATTATAGGTAGTAGTTGGATGGATAGATATTTTGCTGCTGCATTTCTAGATTGGTCTTGTCAAACTAATCAAAAGAACAAGAACACAAGGTTAAACGTGGTTTCCCTGATTGTCAGGACTAGTCCACGGGAGAGCCTAAACCCTTCAAAGTCAATATTATTAGTTACAGAAGCAGGTATACACAGGTCATTATATAGAGGTTACGTACAAACCCTAATGACTAAGGCATTTACAATGACACAATGGTACCTAAACTTTAACACCCTCCCTCAAATTGATGTTGGGTACGTAACATCAATTTGGAAGATAAGTACCAATGCCTACTAGAAACCAATGCCTTAGTCAAAATATCAGCAGTCTGATCTTCAGTTGACAGATAACTCAACTGTATTCTTCCTTCTGTCACCAGCTGCCTAATATAGTGAACGTGAACCTCTATATGCTTTGTTCGATCATGAAGAACTTGATTGAGTGCAATTTGTATGCACTAGTGTTATCTCCATAAAGCTGCATAGGGGCTCGACACTCACACCCAACTCCTCCAGTAATCGTTGTAACCAGACCAATTCAGAACTAACATCTGACATCGAACGATACTCTGCCTCTGTCGATGACTTAGACACCCGGTCTTGTTTCTTGCATCGCCATGAAATAAACGATTGTCCAACCCTGATACACCATCCCGAAGTCGATCTCCTTGTGTCGAGATAACCTGCGTATTCTGCATCAGCAAACGCCTTGACCACAGCTTCTCCAGATGCAGGGAAGAAGAATCCAACGTCCTGTGTTTGCTTGAGATATCGCAGAATCCTATGCACAGCAGCCAAGTGTTGTGCACGAGCAACTCCCAAAACTGACTGACCACCTGTACTGAATAAGCAATATCTGGTCGGGTATGATTTAAGTAAATTAAACTCCCTACCAAGCTGCGGTATAGGGACTGTTCTTCTATCAAATCACCATTGTCCCTTGTCAATTTGAGATTCTGCTCCATCGGTGTCGCCCATGGGTTATAGTCTGTATACTGCGCCGTCTCCAGAAGATCAGCAATGTATTTCTTCTGCAATACAAGAAGACCCTGTGATGACCGTTGTACTTCCAGGCCCAAGAAGTATGACACATTGCCTAAATCCTTAAGATTAAAGGCTTCGTGAAGAGACTTCTTCGACTAGTGAATACCTTCTGCATCACTCTCGGTAATTATCATGTCATCAACATATATCAGCAAAACCATTATATCATCAGTCGTATTTGAAATAAACATAGATGGATCATTCTGACTCTGCGTGAAGCCAAGCTGCACAATGACACTGTGAAATTTCTCAAACCAAGCACGCGGTGCTTGTTTGAGACCATATAACAACCAAACCAACTTGCATACCATATCTGTCGAACCCTTCATGTATCCTGCTGGGCTCTCCATATAAATCACTTCTTTCATATCGCCATGTAGGAAGCCGTTCTTCACATCGAACTGAAACAATGGCCAGTCTTTCATAGCCGCTACTGCGAACACGCACCGGACTGTTTGCATCTCAACTACCGGAGCAAATGTTTCATTGTAGTCAATCCCATATTCCTGTAGAAACCCTCGATCAACAACTCTAGCCTTGAATCGCTCAATTGATCCATCCGGATGTCCTTTGATGGTATAAACCCACCGGCTATCTTTGACAGACATATCTGTAGTTCTCGGAACCAATTCCCATGTATGATTTGCGTCTAATGCATTAGACTCCTCCTGCATTGCCATTTCCCATTCTGGATGACTCACTGCCTGAGCATACGTCTTCGGAATAAACACCAGTATCGTTGCAAATCCTACGTAGTCATGAAGTCTCAACGGTGGCTGACCCTTCGTACTGAGGTTGGATCGACAAAGACCAGCACCCTCTTCATCATTATTCACTTCATTCTCCTCCCCTCCCCAACCGTATTGAGCGAGCCACCCTGTGCAGTATTAGGCTCATCAAAGCTTGGGACAAAAGACAGGAACTCTAGAGAATCATCATGTGATTTATTATCTTGTGACGAAATGGAACAGTACATAACATGCTCCAGGAACAAGACATGATAAGCAATTCTCATTCTCCTCCCAATAGGATCATAGTAGCAATATGCCTTGTGTTTATCGTTGTATCCAACGAAAACACATTTAATTGTCTTCGGTGCGAGTTTATGACGTTCACCTCGGGGAAGTAGAATGAAACAAGTGCACCTGAACACTTTTAAGCGAGAGTAATCAGGGGGTTGAGAAAACAAAGTATGATATGGTGAAGTTTGCCCCAAAACTGAAGTAATTTGCCGATTGATGAGATAAACCACTGTATGAACTGCCTCAACCCAATAATCACTAGGAACAACAATGCTCGCGTGAGTTCAAGAACGTGTCTGTGCTTTCACTCTACTATTCCATTCTGCTGAGATACCCCTGGACAAGAGAGCTGAGATAGAATTCCTTCCGACATATAGAAATCGAGCAGCTCGTGCTTGACAAACTCCCCTCCTGTATCCGAACGAATAAACTTAACAGTCTTACCAAATTGAGTTTTAATAAGCCGCACAAATTCCTTAGCTAATGAACACAATTCGGATTTCCGACGGAGAAAGAAAA